ACTGGTTTGGTCTCAATGATATTGATGAGAACTCTTAGAAATGATTATGCAAAATATGCACGAGAAGATGATGATCTGGAGACTCTGGTGACCATATTATCCTTCTCACTCTGTATTCTTAATACTGTTTATTTGGTTTTGTTGAATTATCCTTTTTTTCCCCATCTTCGATTGCTTTAGGTAGTGATAATAGCTCAATGGTTGGTGACTTTTCTCCSTGCCCTCAGGAAAGAGATGTAAGTGAGGAATCAGGTTGGAAACTTGTCCATGGGGATGTTTTTCGGCCTCCACACAACTTGGTTCTACTATCAGCACTTGTTGGCACAGGTGCTCAACTTGCAATGCTTGTTCTCCTTGTCATCTTATTGGCGATCATTGGGATGCTCTATGTTGGGTATGTAAGGATTTATTCCTTTATTTTGTGCCAGTCAGTTCTGTTGCCTAGTTGCTTTGATGGAATAGAGTTGGTTCCATTGTTCTTTCTTGTTTTTCTGCTTTATTTTTTTCCCATGTTAACTTTATCTCATTAGTTTGGTTCAAATGATTAATTGTGATGCTAAATCTGTTGCTTAGTCGTGGAGCAATTGTGACAACTTTCATAGTATGTTATGCTCTTACATCGTTCATTTCGGGCTATGTGAGTGGTGGACTCTACTCCCGCAATGGTGGTATGTTCTTTTTTTCAATCGTTCGATTATCCTCTTTTGCTTTTGTTTTTAAGACCAATGATTTTTTTCAGTTCCATTTAGGTGTATTTTATCATGCAGATAGTTTTCTCTTCCATTGCCGGCTTATGCTTTCAATGTAAGTAACCGAATTCTTATGTCTTAATGTCAGGTAAAAACTGGATAAAGTCGATGATTCTCACAGCATCTCTTTTCCCATTTATGTGCTTTGGCATTGGTTTCATACTAAACACAATTGCCATATTCTATGGATCCCTAGCAGCTATTCCTTTTGGCACAATGGTTGTTGTGTTTGTAATTTGGGCTTTCATCTCTTTCCCTCTTGCACTTCTTGGTACTGTTGTTGGAAGGAACTGGAGTGGTGCTCCAAACAATCCTTGCCGTGTGAAGACCATTCCACGTCCTATCCCTGAGAAGAAATGGTATCTTACACCTTCTGTTGTCTCTCTAATGGGAGGTCTTCTTCCATTTGGCAGCATCTTCATTGAGATGTATTTTGTATTCACATCCTTCTGGAATTACAAGGTAAATGTTATATCTACCTTTCTTTATGAATATGAATATTGGGGATCATTTTCATGAAAATTTCTAGCACTTACATGCAACTGCTCTTTCTACTTGAGTTGTTTAGTGAAGTCTAAAGGACCAATAATTCCTGTTTTTCTTTCTGTTTTTTTTTTTTTGATAAGTAGAGAATTATTTTATTAGAGGAAACTAAGCATTACAGTATTCAAGGCCAAAGGAGAGGTCTAAGGTGCAACCTCTCCCAAACAACAATGTCCAATTTTAACC